CCCCCCCCCGACCCCCCAAATTTGAAACCATGCAAGGATGTGTTCGGGCAGGGAGATTTTTAAGTTGGCGCTTACCTGTCCGTGGCGTCCTTGGGCTTCCCTTTGCCCCCCAAGCCGCAGTAGCAGCCGTAGAAGGAGTAATGCAGCAAGGCGTTCTTCCCCGTCGCCTTCGTGATCATTTTGTACAGGTCCCAGAGGCTCCCGTGAGCTGGGGACAAGCCTGGGGGGGGGAATGTCTCACGGACTCTCGTCTCCCCAGCATCCCCGCCGCACCCCTCCGGTCCCCAAATTGGTACCAGGCTGATGATGTCTTAAAAATGAGTGGATGCAATGGAAAGGAAACGTATCGCCAGCTCAGCGCGGGGGAGCTGTTGCGCGTTTTGGAGAGGTGGTCATGAGGAAAGGTTAAGAAATCACCGAGCTGGTCCGAATTTCCATGGATGCAACTGCGCGGAGAGCCATGGGACGGGTGCGAGTGAGGACACTTACCCCAAGCAAACAGCACGGCGAAGGCGAGGAGAGAGTTCATCTTCTTGACAGCCCTGGGAGAGGAAACCAAGCCTGTGTAATTTCCCCATGATAGCAACCACTTTCTTTTTTACTTCCCCCCTCATCCAGGGCTAGAGATGCTCCCCACCTCTGGGGATTAGGGGAGATGAGGGGGGCAAGCGTGCACCCGGCGCCATCGCTTCGGCACAAAGCGCTGCTGCGTCGGGGCTGGGAAGCGATGGGAATCGGAATGCGGAGGGCTGGGAAAAAGCAAAACGAAGGGAAAGGAAGAAAAGTCGGAGGAACGGTCAGCCCTCGAGGGCTGCACCCCGCCGCTCTGCCGCTGGCCTGGCATCTCAGGTAGCCTCTCCTTTGCTCCCCGCTTGCGCTGTGGCTTTTGGTTAAAGTAGGAAAGGGAGGAAAAGAGTTCCTCCATCCCCGCTTACCTCGGGAAAGCCGCCGCTTGCTCGCAGGGCCCTGCAGCCGGCAGGGCTTGCTTTATATAGGGTCTGCTCCCCGCTGTCAGATGCTCGTTTCGCCCAAATCTTGCAGACGGGGCTTTTCTGCAAAGGAGAAGGTGCCGTCCTTCCCCTTTACAGGAATGCAGGAAATCCCCACAACGCCCTGGCTCCATACCGCATGCACGGGGACCGGTGCCGGCTGGGATGAGCTGGCAAAGCAGCGTCATTTCCAGCCCGAGGAGGAAACCAACGCTCTCTGCCCCCAGCCGGAGATGCTCGAGGGCCTTTTCCTCTGCCCTCCCCAGCACCACGGTGCCATATCAGGGGGGAAATAATAGCCCTGATTCAGCTTTTGCATCCCAGTGGCCACAAACAAAGCGGGTTTGGGGTTTCCGAGGGGTTGCGTGGTTTGGGAACTGTCCCCCTGCCACGCTGCCGCTTAAGGCACCGTTTTGTTTGAGTTCAGCTAGCGGGAAGGGGCGCTGGGAGAAGCCAAAAAAAACCCACTACCATCAGGGCTTGCGGCTGGGGAATTATTTTGTTAACAAACCCCAGGGAGTTTTACTTGGTGGCATTTATTCGTCCCCGTTTCTCGATGCAGAGTGCTCCTCTGTAGCTGGGAATCCAGCAGCAGCAACATTGCTCTGCAGCGGGCTAGACCTGGCGATAGACCTGTGAATTACGGCTGCGGTCGGGCCTTCGGCTTTTTCAGGCTGCTGTCGGGACCATGGAAATATTGGGGTGTCAGGCAGATGGCGTGGCTAAGGTGTGAGATGTAAAAGCGCTCCCCAAACTCGGCAGCCTGGATGCCACCGTTGCAGTGCCTCAATCTCAGTGGCTCTTACAGAAAAACACCACGGAGGATCATTTCGAATACCTTTTTATTTCGTTATCTTTGCTGGGAAATGAAATCAAGAGAGAAAAGAGAGGAGGAGAGGACCGAAAAATGGAAGCTGACGTCTTTCTGGGAACTGGGGGATCGGCACCCGCAGTGCGCGCGTGCCCTTCCTCACCCGGAGCATCGCCTTGCCGGGAGCCTTGCTGGCTCCGGCTCCGTTCAGCCCGCACATCAGGCTTTTCTTGCTGTAGCAATGGGGAAAGCCAGTCAATATCTGCAAACTCGGGTGCAGATTTCTCCCCCTCAGCACTGGAGCTTATCTCCTCGGCATTTCAGCTTGAAATAGAAGAGGTAGGATTTATTGTAGGAATGCGAAGCGCTCGCAAAGCACGAAGCCACCGCCTTGTCGCATAGGCAGGTTTCTCTCTTGCACCAGCTCTGCTCGTTACCTGCGGGGGAAAAAAACACGGCGCTCTGCGGTGGCTTTTCCAGCTGGCATCGGCCATGGGGTCCCCTTGGAGCCCCCCCGATGCCTGGAGCTGCCCGGGGGAAGCACGTGAAGCAGTGTGCCCCAGTGCTCATCCTCTCCAGCCCGCCCGCATCCCTTGCAACGCCCATTCATTTATCGTACGCTGCATCCTCCCGCACGCACCCGACCGGGCATCGGGCAGGTTTCATCCCCGGGGGCGATGCCCTCCTGTGCACCCTGCTCCAGGGCTGGGGTGTTGCAGGGAGCGGTGCTGGTTCCCCACCTCCGTGGGACCCCCCCGCTCGGCGGTACTCACTGCAGACGATGTCTCCGTCGGCGACGTCGAAGTGGTGGGGGGTTATCAGGGGGCTGCCCTTGCCCTCTCGCAGCCTCCTGTAGCAGCAGTCGTGGGCATGGCAGCACCTGCGGGGGACACCGTGTTCAAACCGCTGCCCCCGAACCCTCCCTCACCACGCTTGGAAGGTAAAGGAAGGTCCAGCCTCAAATTTAGGGTGACCCAAGAGGAGGGGATGACAAGGCAGCAGCAAGACGTGGCTGGGGAACGGCGCAAAAGCCCCCCTCAGAGCACCGCAGCACCGGCAGGCTGCCAGCGAGGAGCTTTTTTAGGGACCCCCGCGCACCCCGCAGCGGGGCGGCCGATGTGGCGATGCTTTTCCAGGTACTCACCGGTCGGTGGAGTCCACCGGGGTCCCTCTGCCCCCGATGCCGCAGAAACAGCCGTACCAGCTGTAGGAGAGCAGGGCGCTTTTCCCCGTGGCCGACTTGATCATCCGCTCCAGCTCCAAAACGCTGCCGCGAGCCGGCAGCAGCCCTGCGGAAGGGGCAGAGGGATGGGCTCACGCCGGTGCGGAGCGAGGAGGCAGGCAGCGTTCCCCGCACCAGGCGGAGGAATTAAATAAGTCTGGCGTTGCTGGAAATACATGCTTTCAGGCATGTGAACCAGGAGAATCCCCCCCAGAATCCATTCAGGATTACGTCTGGTTTCTGCAGCTACCTGATTCCGCCTGGCAGAAGATATCATTGCTCTCTGTACAGGCTGTGCCGCGCTTGCATCCTGCAACCGGCAATGCCACGCTGCCAGGATCAGCCGTGGGCTTGGCACAGGCAGGAAAGCCGGTGACAACAGGCTCCAGGGCCTCTTAAAATAAATATGGATCTCAGCGTCCCAAAGCCTCACCGTCATGAAGATCTCCAGGACTACGGCAGTGCTACACGAAGTGTTAAACTGCAAGATTTAAGCAAAAACCTGAATTGTGCACAAAGACTGGGTTTGTATGTGTTTTTTGCCACGCAGACGAGATCCCAGCCTGGCCCGGTGAAACCGGGGCACTTACCGCAAGCCAAGACGACAGCAAAGAGGAGATTCTTCATCCTCGGGCTGGTCCTGGAGGAGGAAACAGCGATGGCGGGCGATGAGCAGGACGCCGGGGGCAGGACAAAC